TGATTATACACTCCATGATTAGATTGCTGGATATATTAAGATTTGTGCCCATTGGTTACTGTGGCCTAGCCTGTATAAGCAGTAGATCAATCATAGTGAAAGGGTTTACTAATGAATACTGATCTATAGCATCAGGTACATGTATAACTGTGAGCACAGGCACCTAATAATGGTTGGAGGACTTGTCTGCTATAAGCATTAATTACTTTTACTGTTAAATAAAAGTTAATCCACCAACCTTTTAATGTAAAAAGCTCTTCAATGTTCATTTGATGATATGCTGTTACTGTATGACTAGATTACTAGATATTAAGATACTGGCCTAGTTTTGTGGCCTGGTTTGAAAGCAATAGATCATCAAATAAAGCTGAAATGTTTCATATATTGAAGGTTGTCTTGACGCTTACTTGGTAATAAATACGTACTATACTTCTGCTAAGAATGAAGACGTAGTGCTTGATAAAGTAACCAATAAAGAAGTAATTGATAAAGTAGCTAAATTAGTTTCAACTAAGAGCAGCTGTCATGTAGTACCTTCTCTTAGTAAATTTATTGATATTCATGTGTATTTCCACCTTACAGACACTATAGCATCAGTTAGATAAGGTATCTAATGGCTGGGGGTCTCTACTGCTGGTATCTTTATAAGTATTACTGTATTAGATAAATGAGTTTACTGTTTAGCAATGATGATTAAAGTAATGATAATGATAATTAAAGTATTAAGTTATTAATAGTATTTAACTGTTATTATTAACTTATCATTATTATTGTTGTTATTATTATTATTTTCTTGCTTCTTCAGTAGCTTTAACAGTGATCACAAATTACTCCAACACTATCATAGCAGGCATAAGAAGCATAGCCTTTGGTACAACACTCTCGTCCGTCCTATAAGAATAATACATACAATATTTGGCACAGACTCAAATCTACTAGAATTAATATTAAATATCACTAGCATCAAAATAGAGATTTAATGGAAAATTTTTTGTAAAACTTTTAACTGAATAGAAAAATTGAACTTGGAATCTTAAAAATTTGTACACACCAAATTGATATCATTAGGGCAAATTGTAAATATTTGTATGCTTAAAATGGCCTTACACCCTTGACTACTTCCTCATAATTCCCTTCACATTTTCTTTGAGGGTAACAATGACATGTCAGAGCATCAGTGACATGAGCAGTAATCATGAAGAGTACAGCTGCAACAAGGACCATACGCTGGAATGAAGTCATCTTCAGTTTGATAGTAGTAGTATCTTTCTTTATCTCTTTATGATGTACTGATGATATACAATATACCAAGGGTGGATAATTATACTGATATCCTTCAGCTACTTTTATAGATACTGGCAATGGTGTCTTTTTTTATTTCCACATGTGATAGAAACATGTAAATGTGACAGAAAGTCATTTCTAATTTGTCTCTGAGTGCATGAATGTTGTTACTATTAACAGTCTGTGATATTGTTCTAATGTAGTAACTGACTATTGACAGTATCTCA